CTTCAGAACATGAGGCTCTGGAACGGGAGGAGGCGGATCCCTCGTGTTAGGATTTGCGGGAGGGAAGGGGGCCTCCAAGCTGGTGTGGTTCTAATGCCCAGAGCCCCCGAAGGCAAGCTACGGGGACAGCAGTGCCAGTGTGCAAGAGCCTCTTGGGCACAGGGTGGGAGGACGCCCCGGGGTGCTTGTGCCCCCTGTGCTGGGGAAGTGCTGGGTTTGGGATGCCCAGAGCACGCTGAGCGGGGCAGCAGGCACTGGGGACGCAGCCGCAGGGCGCTGGGGCACACAGGGCTCACAGCCGCCTCTCTTCTCCTCTTGCCTTTCAGTGGCCCTGGGCCCACGGAACGCCCGGGGGCAGGGCCCGCCTGCGCGGGGGCACAGAACGCGCGGGGCCGTTGGAGCGCCGGGCTCCTCGTGGAGCGGCCGGGCAACCGGAAACAGAGCGAGCGGGCCCGACGGTAGGGGCAGGAGCTGTGGGCGGAGGAGCGCGGGGGGTGGCCTGAAAAGGGGGGGATAAATGGGCTTGAACGGGGCAGGGGGACACCAGAGGAGGTGGGGGGAGCCTCGGGATGTGGGGCACGAAGCGGTTTGAGGGTTGGGGGTGTCTCCATGGGAAAAAAGGGTCGGGAAAGGGGTCTGGGAGGTTGGGGAGTGACACACCTGGCACCGGGGGCTGGTGTTTGTCCCCCTTCGGGGCAGTGGGGCCGGGGCAGTGGCCGGGGCTGATGCAGGCAGGGGTTGGGGGGTCCACGCGCTGGACCCCACCTCGGTCCCCAAAGGGAGAGGGGATGCGCTTGCTTGGTGCCCGGGGGTACAAAATCACACGCAGCTCCCCTCGCCCTCAGGCTATTGCTGGAAGGAGTCACTCTCTCTTTGGCGACTGCCAGACTTGCGAGACTTGCGAATTTCCTGGTGGTGTTGGGGGACCGAGTGGGGTCTTCGGGCCCCGTGAGGAACCCCTGGGGGGTGTAGAGCAGCCGGGACTCCGGCGCGAAGCTCTGTGAGCCAGTGCACTCTGCGCTGGGCAGACCCGGCTCGGGCAGGCAGAAGCACAAAGGTGGGTGCCTTCCCCCCCTGCCCTGCTGTCCCCCCCTGTGTGGGGCTGGGGACACGGGGCCAGCGGCTCAGCCTGCCTTCTCCTTGGCAGCTCCTGCCAGCACCAAGCAGCAGCCCTCGGTCACCATGGCACTGCTGAAGAGGGCCAGGAAGCACCTGCAAGAGCCCATCAAGGTGGGGACTGATTACACACACACACACACACACACACACACACAGAGCTCCCCCCAACATGCCATGTACATGTGCTTATTGCGTTTACAGCTGAATACTCACAGCCCTCCTCAGGAGAAGACCTCCACGGCGCGGCGCCCCTCCCCTGTCACCCGCAAGGTGCGGCGGGCATGGGGCTGGGTGGAGAAGAAGTTCTCCAGAACCGCCAGGGGGGACCCCCTCTTGGGGCAGCCGGAAGTCGGGAAGCGGCTGGCTGAGCAGTGGCAGGCAGCCCTGGGTTCAGAGGCAGGGCCAGCATCCTGCTGGGTTCAGCCCACAGTGGAGATGCCGGAGGAAGAGGCAGAAGCGGAGGAGCTGTGGGATGATGAGGACCATGATGGCATCCATGACATCATGGTTAGTGGAGAAGGCCGGGGCTGGACTCTGTAGGACACAGCCTGGGCTGGGCGGTGAGGGTGGAATGGGGACTTCAGAGCTCACCCCGGTCCCCTCTCTCCCTGCCGCAGTCCTCCATGGTGCGAGACCAGACGCCGACCTTCATCTGGAGCAGCCAGTGCCAAGATGGCTACAGCGTGGTGCAGTGCGTGCAGGGTGGGGCAGGCTGGGTGGGCACGCAGCACGGCAGTGCTGGTGCTGAGCCCCCCGTGTCACCACCCTGCAGCGAGCAGGTCAGGCTGGCGCCCAGCACCCGAGAGTGGAAGCAGTGCAGGGCCCTGCTGCAGCACCCGCAGGCACGGCTGCCGCAGCTCCGCATGGAGGGTGATCACAACCTTTGGATCGTCGAGGCTGGAGCCCAGTCCTGCGCTAGAGGTGAAGCCATTGGGAAAGGGGGTTTGGGGGGGGGTCTCACTGTCCCTGTGTTTCTCCCATCGCAGGCATCATCACCTGCACGGCGCAGCTGGAGGAGGTGCTGGAGCTGGCAGAGAAACGCCTGACACCGCCGCTGACCGTCCTGGGCACCGAGTTCGACCTTCGGCAACAGCTTCTGGTGAGCGACTGGAGCCTGCTCACCGTCTGGTTCTACCGGGACAGCTACGTGCGCTTCTGCTCCCGGCCCTTCTCCATGCACTGCCTGCATCGGTAATTGCCCCCTACTCCACCCTGTAGGGGTGCTGCCGCACACCCAGTACCCCGGCACCCCACTGACCCATCCCCGCTCTCCCCACACCAGCTCCCAGCATCTCTGCAACGTCGTCATCCAGAAGCAGTGGAGGCTGGCTCGGGGCCGGCATCCCAGACTGCCCCGTGACATGATCTGGTCCAGCCAGCAGTTCCAGCTGTACCTTCAGGGAGCGGGACACGCAGAGGTCTGGGAGAAGCTCATTGTCCCTGGCATGAAGGAGGTGCTGGTGCCTGCCCTGCGCAGCACCCAGGAGCTGGTGGAGGTGCGCAAGGGCAGCTTCGAGCTCTACGGAGCGGACTTCACGTTCCAGGAGAATTGCCAGCCCTGGCTGCTGGAGATCAACACACATCCATCCCTGGAGCCCTGCTCAACGGTGCCCCGGCGGCTCTGTGCCGCTGTCCTGCGTGACGCGCTGCGCCTGGTCCTGGACCACAAGGAGAACCCTGTCTGCTCCACCAGTGCCTTCGACCTCATCTACAAAGAGGTGGGTTGGGGGGCTCTGGGGTGGGCACCCTGAGCCCCCACTCCCCGCCCAAACATGAGCAGCTTGTGCCCAGACAGCCAAGAAGCCACCAGCATCCTGGCCTGTCCCAGCACCAGTGTGGCAGCAGGGCCAGCGCAGTGACTGTCCTCTGCTTTTCCAACCCACTTCTTCCATTTCTTGCTGCAGGCAACAGTGGCCGCGCCTCCTGATGTGGGGCTGGAGCAGCTGGTGGAAGGCTACTCACTAATGAAGCCCCAGCTGGAAGAGCAACAACCCCAGGCCAAACTCCCCATCTTCCTGCCTCTTGTCTGCCCGGTGGTGCCCAAGTCACCCTTGGTAACCAAGCATCCTGCGGTCCCAATCTCCCTTAGAGTACCCAAGTCTCCTGTGGTGTCCAAGTCACCTATGTTTTCCAAGCAACTTATGAACAGCAATCCTCCTTTGGTGCTCAAATCACCTGTTTTCTCCAAGTTACTTGTGGACACCAAGCTTCCTGTGATGCCCAAGACTCCAGTGGTGCCCAAGCCACCTGTGGTCTCCAAGCCACTTACGGACACCAACCTTCCTGCTGTGTCAAATTCTCCAGTGTTGCAAAAGCCACCTGTGGTGCCCAAGTCACCTATGGTACCCAAGCCACCTGTGGTCTGCAAGCCACATGTGGACACCAAGCTTCCTGCTGTGTCAAAGTCTCCAGTGTTGCAAAAGCCACCTGTGGTGCCCAAGTCAACTATGGTACCCAGGCATCCTGTGGTCTACAAGCCACTTCCAGACACCAAGCTTCCCGTTGTGCCAAAGTCTCCAGTGGTGCCCAAGCCACCTGTGGTGCCCAACTCATCTGTTTTCTCCAAGCCACTTACAGACACCAAGCCTCCAGTGGTGCCCCCTTCAGTGATGCTGAGGCGTCCTGTGCTCTACAAACCACTTATGGACACCAAGGTTCCTGTTATTCCCAAGCCTCTTGTGGTGCCCAAGCCACCTGTGGTCTCTAAGCCCCTTATAGACCTAAGGCTTCCTGTGATTCCCAAGCCTCTTGTGGTGCTCAAGCCAGCTGTGGTCCACAAGCCACTTACAGAAACCAAGGTTCCTGTGATGCCCAAATCACCTATGGTGTCTGAGTCACCTGTTTTCTTCAAGCCACTTTTGAATTTCAAGCTTCCTGTGATCCCCAAGCCTCCTGTGGTGCCCAAGCCACCTATGGTACCCAGGTGTGCTGTGGTCTACAAGCCACTTACGGACACCAAGCTTCCTGTTTTGCCAAAGTCTCCAGTGGTGCCCAAGCCACCCGTGGTGCCCAACTCATCTGTTTTCTCCAAGACACTTACCGACACAAAGCTTCCTCTGATTCCCAAGCCTCCTGTGGTGCCCAAGACACCTATGGTACCCAGGCATCCTGTGGTCTACAAGCCACTTACGGACACCAAGCTTCCTGTTTTGCCAAAGTCTCCAGTGGTGCCCAAGCCACCTGTGGTGCCCAACTCATCTCTTTTCTCCAAGACACTTACAGACACCTTGCCTCCTGTGATGCCCAAGCCTCCAGCACTGCCCAAGCCTCCAGTGGTGCCGAGGCGTCCTGTGGTCTACAAGCCACTTACGCACACCAAGCTTCCTATGTTGAGTGGTGCCCAAGCCACTTATTGACTCTAAGCCATGTACGGTCTCCAAGATTCCTACAGACCCCAAGCCTCCAGTGGAGCCCAAGCCGAGGGGCAGAACCACTGAGCTGCCTGAGATGGAGCCTGACAACATGGACTGTATTCAGTCAGCATCTTTATACGGGTTGGTCCATGGAATAAGGAGTGGTATCTCTCTTTTTGTGTGTGTATATATATACGTGTGTGTATCGAATGAAAACTTAGTTTGTGCAGTGAACGATTTTTAAGTGTTTGATGTTTTTTTAAAACCTGAGCGTAATTCTAGGATGGAATTTGCAAGGGAAAAGGAATATCTGAGACCTGTGTCCTGCAATTCGTTTGGCACACGCATAGTTTTGTGATGGAAGTTTACAAGCTGAATCACTATTGGTATGCTATATCACTAATAGTATGCTATCACTATTTTGGAATACCATTAACAACTTCTTACTCCTGCTGTCATTCTGCAAGGTTATTCCAAATTTTTGTTCTCCTCTCTACCTGCACTTTTTGTGATACTGTTTCTTAGGCTCAGTTCATCATTTATACACAGGTCTTTGTGGCACAAATGACGTTTATGGTTTACTGCAGGTGAAGCACTGCAGGAAAATGTCAAACAAAAGGAAATGTGAAGTTCCGCACCTGGAAAAGAACAACCACGTACACTGGTAGAGGCTGGGAGCTGGCTGGCTGAAAAGGAGCTGGTCAGAAAAGGACCTGGGGTCTCTGGTGGACATCAAATTGACCGTGGCCTGATGATGCTTTGTTGCAGCAAAGAAGGCCGAGAGCTTCCTGGCCTGCATTAGGCAGCCCGCTGCCAGCAGGTTGAGAGGAGGGATTCTTTCACTCCTTGAGGGGAAAACCTCAAGCCATGTGCTTGGTGCAGGCATCCAGGTCTTTAGCAGAACTCCAACAGGTATCTTTCTTTGCTGCTCAGCTCACTTTTGCTGGATGGATCAGCTTGCTTTTACCCAGCAAGTGCATAGGTCTGTGTTTATAAAGTCTGGTGTAAAGCAGATGGTATGGCCAAGTTCTCATCATCCAAACACAACAAACTCATCCCGGGATGCTTTTGTCACAAACTGAAGAGTATGAAGTCCACAATCTTTTATGAACAGAAGGCTTTAATTTCTTCTTTCCTATCTTGTTGATGTGGCAATTTGCTAGTCCTTACAGGAGAGCTATTTAGCCTCGTGTATCAGTTAGGATACGTAACAGTGCTTTTTACATCTGTCCAAGATTCAAGGAACTTAACCGCAGGCCATTGATCTGTACTGTCAACTGATGTATACCCATGAAAAACAGGAAAGGCAACAGCAATAGCACTGCGGCTGTCTCCATATATTGTGACACGCACCCGAGTGCTGTTGAAGTCACAGAATAAAAACACATCCTTCTTTTTTTAAGCAATCTCACGCCTATGGCCAGGCAGGAAGAAATGCTTAGCATGTACAAATATGTTCAAAGGCAGAAGTAGGAATAACTTGTTTAACTTGTGTATTCATGCACAGAGGGACAGATTTTTAAGAAAGAGTAGCTTATTCTAACAAATGATGTTGGGTGCTTTTCATTTGCATAAACCCCAAGTATATTGTGTTTTCTCTGATGATTCAGAACTTGGTGGTTGACGAAACCAGAAGGTGTCCTGGTTTCAGCTGGGATGGAGTTAATTGCCTTCCTAGCAGCAGTGCTGTATTGAGATAAAAAGTGATGGTACATTTTGCAATATGTGATCTGAGCATGACGTGCACGGTATGGAATAAGGGGTGGATACTGTCTTGGGTTCAGCTGTTAACAGCCTTTTATCGCCTTCTTAGTACCTGGTGCAGTGCTGTGTTTTGGCTCTGGTCTGACAGCAACACGTCGTTGCTCACTAGCGCTTCCCCTGATGGAGGACTTCTCAGTCTCATGCTCTGCAGCGAGCCGGGAGGAAGCAGAGGCAGGACACCTGACCCAAAGTAACCAAAGGGGTATTCCATACCACAGGCACGTCATGCCCAGTATAGAAAGTGGGGGGAGTCACTCGGGAGGGACCGGTGGCTACTTGGATTGGGCTGGGGATTGGTCAATGGGTGGTGAGCAATTATATTGGGCATCACTTGTCTCTCTTCAGTTTTAATCCTCTCTCCATTTTTACCACCCTTTTCATTACTGTTGCTGTTGTTGTTACAGTATTTCTCTGTATTTAAATTAGTAAACTCTTCTTATCTAAATCACGTGTTTTACCTTTTTTGGTTCTTCTTCCCATCCCAGCAAGTGGGAGGAGGGTGGTGGGGAGGGAGCAAGCAGCTGCATGGTACTTAGTTCTCAGCCAGGGTTCAAACGGACAAGTAGTGGAGCATTGAACAACAGAGGAAGTAAAAGAACTGGCCTTAGGTTTTTTGTACGTTTAAGAAGGTAAGCAGAAAAAGCCTTTTTTTTTTTTTTACAGGACTCTAAAATATGGCAAAGTTTTGAGGTAGTAAAGGTGAGAAAAGATTTTGTATATCATTTTTTTTCCTCTGTGTCTGATGTATCTTTGCCTTGGTCACGAAGAAAGAATTCTTGTAAATAATAGAGATGGAATGTGAGGAATAGGAATAATATTGATCAAATCTAGAATAATTTTTCCTATCTTTTCATACATTTGCTATTCTGATCTAGTAGATCTCTATTCAACAGTTTTGAAATTACTTTTTACTTTATATTTTAATGGCAGCTACCCCTAAAGGTATGTAACTTGCAGTATATTGTTCAGCCACTGGTTATCCTGAAAAAAAGGCAAGGAAAGGCTAGATTAAGATTCGCTCTTAGGCAGAAGTTCTTCCCTGTGAGGGTGCTGAGGCGCTGGCACAGGGTGCCCAGAGAAGCTGTGGCTGCCCCATCCCTGGCAGTGGTCAAGGCCAAGTTGGACGGGGCTTGGAGCCACCTGCTCTAGCGGAAGCTGTGCTTGCCCGTGGGAGGGTGTAGGAACTGGATGAGCTTTTAGGTCCCTTCCAACCCAAACCCATTTATGACTCTCTCCCTCACTACCCCATACACTTGGCAGCTTTTCACACGGTTCATGTTAAACAAAGGAGACTGGATGTTCACTGTGTAATCAAGTTCAGAGTCTTGATTACACAGCTTTTTTTTCTAAGGAAATTTCTTCTTGTTTAAAATGGGCCATATTCAGTGAACTAGAACTCTGTGCTTGCTGTTAACGTTGCATTTTTCAGTATTTAACAACAGACCGCTGCAAATGGTCAGCTTTTACCTGTGGATGTACCTTGCTACAGCTGAACCTGGGACACTTACATAGAGGTAGAGATGTGTAAACAGCGTTAATCATACAGTTATACAGGATATAAACAAAATATCATTCATTAATCCTGTGTATTTCTTCTTGCAATCTATGCCGAGTTCCATGGGCTTTCTTGGAATTCTCTTTGGATATACATGTTCAGCTGTGGAGATCAAATTGTTTGAGTGGGCTTATTTAATAAGATGCCTCAGTTCTTTATCTAAAGCCACCTTCAGATAAAAACAAGGGAAACAAAACCCTCAGCTCTTTGATTGCTTTTAAGTGCACAACAACTTCAGATTTTCACTATTTATTTGAAATGTCATTAATACCTTTCCAATATTTTGGTCACACGAGCTGCTTTCTTGCCCTTTCATGCAGTGACCACAT